CAGCCGCCGTCTGATGACACCTGTGGCTCGACCCCCACGATCAGTTCAGCCGCGACCGTCCACGCGCCGTCTTGTTGTAACGTTTTTGTACAGTCACCACTTCAATATACGTATATATACACATACACGTCCATGGATACATATTCGCACGCGCAATTCACGTGTATAAGTATGCATATAATGCTAGTAGGTGTACACGTGTAAACGAGTAATTTTTATTCTTTACCACGTGACAAACCGTCGTGCGCATCTGCCATTATCGTGAGCGAACTGTCATTGTGCTCTTTTTTTGTGCAAGATAGTAAAGAAGAGGAACGCAAGGAATAATTATTCTTTCCAGTATGTACCATGGATATTGTACTATTCAACAATCAGTTCTTTACTAGTATTCTTTTTCCCCATATCGACCAGTGTTCCGTTCACGTACGCCGTTGACAACTGTGATCAGCTCCCTCTATCCATTTCAAGCAAAGCTTTTACGTTTGATTCTAGTGTTGATAGATACTTGATACGATTCACGCCTGTATATATCCTAAGAACAAGGTCGTCGATGTAGAGCGTTACTTTCTAGACAATCAAGTCTGATCATTAAAATTATGTATGAAGAAATTGTCATATAGCTTTAAATAATTGTGAAGTTCTCATCTGGTACAAATAATTAATAGCGCGTTTTTTACCGTATGTGAATTTTTAGTTATATTTTTTTTAATATCTAAATATTTATTAATGTTGATAATATTTATTAATATTGTTCATATTTTATATTTCACGTATGAATGTGAATAAAGTATTATTAAATACATTAGAAAAACATTCACAAATAACGGTCAATAGTGTTTCTTGGCACGATCTTGTGAACGACCTTATTCCTAGGGAATGATCCGTAATGTTGCGACTGTGCACAAGAAAACAGAACGCGGCCTGTATGCCCGGCAATGCGAAACGAATGAGGCAGAGGAGTATATTCCTTACATATATATTCACAACGTCGTATATTCACAATGTCGTACAATTTAGGAAAGCTAAAAATTTAGAATTTGTATTTGAAATTGTACATTGTAATCTTGATAGACAGTAGTGAAGTGTATAATAACAATATAAGTGAAACTTATTTTTATGTAAATTTCAAAATTTGTTTATTTTCATTTACAAAATCAAGGAATTAAATTGATATGTTTATAAGTGTTCGATATTATCAGATTCT